GCGGTAAGCTTGTATGTGCAAATAATGTAATGGATGACGACTCGGTTCGTGTTATATATATATATATATATATGTAAGCAAATATATGGATATAAATCCGACAGTATGAAGAAAAAAACAAACAAAAATCTTAATATGCAATTCTCCTATGTTAATATAAAGTTCAATCGACTTTTTTAATATTTGGAAATCATCTTCGAATACGTTTTAACAACATCAACCATGTGACGACTACGTGATCATATTTAAACGGAACGCTGATCTTATATAAAAATTTCAGTTATCTGTTTGGATTAGTTGTGCTCTTATGTCCATCGTCTTTTATTTAAATTTTTTATATGTTCTAATGTTAATTATGTTTAAATGAAAATGTCCATGAAGATGGTCTTAAATAAACCGAAACGTCCGACGTCGACTTTATATTAACATTAATACAGCATAATTGCATATTAAGATTTTTGTTTGTTTTTTCTGTATTGTTCTTCATATATATATATATATATATATATATATATATATATATATATATATATATATATATATATATATGGGTCAAACAGATCAGTTCCCAGGTAACCTACAACGGCACATGAGATTTGATTATAGTGGTGAAGGTTTCGAGCAGGACCATCCACACTTTTTGAAGGGCCGAATTCAGAGACCTGGTGCACTAAGTGCCACAAGGTTCCCAAACGACCGTCCGCAGGTTTTGAATTCAGAGGCACGGTGGAGTAATGGATAGCGGCTTGGATGGAGCAATCGCAGAGCCGAGTTCGAATTCCAGTCGAATCCATTACATTCACTTCCGTGCTAATAGCCTTGGGAAAGGAGTAAATCCTCTCCTTCTACCTTCAGCTATGGGTAAATAGCAAGACACACTGAGTTTTATAGCCTTGGATGGCAACTGGTCTAGGAGAATGACAACTCTGAATTCAAATATATACATATATATATATATATATATATATATATATATATATATATACATATTTGATATGATTGATGTGAGTTTGTGACGCTATATATTTATATACACACACACACACATATATATATATATATGCGTGTGTGTGTGTTTAATTGCATTCAATGAATGGAGCAACATAAATCTTTATGAAAGTAATTTTTTTTAATGTGCTTAATACAGAATAGTTATTATTTAAAATTATTTACTTTGTAAATGAACTGAAGTATGCCATAAGTTTCAATACAATAATATATACTTTAAAAATAAAACGAACAATAAAAAATAATAAGTAAAACAATTACATAAACAAATGAATTCATTCAATATATATATATATATATATATATATATATATGTATGTGTGTGTGTATGTGTGTCTGTGTGTGTGTGTGTGTGAGGGTAAATAATCAAAGGAAGAAAGAGATGGAGAAAAAATTAAGAGCAATGAGAAAATTTATAAATAAATAAAATATTCTAACTGGATATAAGGATTTCCAATCCTGCAATATAAATATATCCATTTTATCTTTGTTCTTATCCCATTAGATATGTCTCACATCACATACCAAATTATTAATATATGTGTCTGTGAGCGTGTAAGTGAGCTTTCTGTAAATAGATACAGTTCCGCATTTCTGGGTAATTCTCGATCTATAAAAGGCAGGATGTGTGTGTGTGCGTGTGTGTGTGCGTGTGTGTGTGTCTGTGTGTGTGTGTGTGTGAGAGGAATGCACGGCCGCACTTTTCGACGGATTTGCACCAAAATTTAGATGCACATGCTCCAAGTTTGAGGAAAGGCCAAGGCCGACTTTGCATTTCACAAATTCCATCGATAGTGGAAATAATCGTTTTTTCATGCTTCTACGGGAGTTTTCATGTTGTTTGCAGCCATTTTCTACTGGTCAGAGTGATAACCTATAGCTGGCTGCCACGAATAGGCAGGAAGATTCTATTGGCCAGCGTGAGAGCCAACAGCTTACTGACACGAAGGTTAACTAGCCTGATAGCATGCAAAAAAAATCGATAGCTGCATTCGTCACAAGTGAGAAAAATTTGAATCTGCATGACACTTTAATCCAATTGACACATTCGCTTGCTTAAACTCAACGTTGATTCTGATTCTGCAGAACTGGGTTGGGTGTGAAAAAGTATTTGTTGTCAATATTCATTTTTCATTCGGTTTTTCCAGTTACGAGACATTTTCTAAATCTGGTAGTTTTGTGTTCATTTTGGTTAGTTCTTTTCTCGTACAGATTTAATGTTTCGTAATGTTAGAAAAAAATCGCAGTGTAAGATAGGCAAAAAGTAAGGCATGTAGCAACATCAGCACGGCAAAGGGCACTTCTTTAAAGGCAAGGAAGGGCAAAAATGTTTTAAGTCAAGTGATAGCGATTGCTGTATGAGTTGTAAGATTTTTGAATCAAGCAAGGGTAACGCCGAGACATGCTGCTCATATATATATATATATATATATATATATATATATATATATATATATATATATATTAAAAGATATATATTTTCATATTTAAGGAACAATATTGGGGAAAATATATGACAAAAGTTCGTAAAGGACGATACGGTTCACATGAAAAAATTATTATATATATATATATATATATATATATATATATAGTTAAACCTAGTGAGCCAGACAAACCTAACAAGATTTCACCGAGGCGGATCGTCAGGGAAAGCGAGCGAGTATAGTTTCTTATACTTATAAGATCTCTATTAATAATATATATATATATATATATATATATATATATATATATATATATATATATATATATATATATATATATATATATAAATATATATATATGTGTGTGTGTGTAGTATATATATATATATATATATATATATATATATATATATATATATATATATATACAGTTATATTGAAATGGTATCGCCAATCTTACTTCCTTGCGTAGGCGATGTTCTAATGGTCGCATGCTGTATTTTTAGTAATTGTTCCACTTTAAACAAATTACATTTAGTGTCTGGTCTTTTTTTTTTTAAGCTCGGACATTCCCACGGCAAAATGAACTTTCACACCCAGATATAAATTACGTATAACTTCCAATAGTCAAACACGGCTTCGCTCTCATCGATTCCATCAACATACGCTATCATATAAAAAATTGGGGAAAAGTGTGATTATTATAGAATGAAATGTGAATTGGCTAATACAAGAAATATACAGTCTGCGATGGATAAAAGGTCGCTGTGTCATATTTTTAATGTAGCACATGCACGTTGTATTTTTTTGTTTTGTTTTGTCAACTACAAAGTATAGTATATTCAGAAAGCCACCCTCTGTGAGAAATAGAGCATCATGGCACAATTCACACCTCCAGAATTTTTGGAAACAGCATGCTTTACTCTTTGGCATTCGCGCCAGTACCACCAATACGATTTTTTCAGAGTTTTTGGGTCTCATTCTCAGGAAAGTACAACGGATTTGTATAGATTTAGACAGCCACCTCTTAATTGCTGTTTTTCCTTGGTCTATCCTGACCCGGAGTCGTAGCAGATGTTAGGCTGCCAGGTATATGCAAATAGGTAACCCCTAAACAAAAACAAAACACTACGAAAGTATACAAGTACATATTTTCATTGATGCATGCTTCATTAAATAATATAGACAAGTTTTGTATATGTATTTTATGTACATTCTTTTCATACCGCCTGATATGCTTAATAACATTATCATTAAAGAGGAAAGAAAATTACGACATTGATACATTTTTTTAATCCTATCTAAGCTTTCGTTTACATAAGCCATTATCAAAGCTGATAATTACATTACAATATATTAAACAATACACGGAAAAAACAATAATGATAGTCTGCTTTTTTGCATGAATGATTTCCAAGTAACGACAAACTCGTTTATATATTTATATTATACATATTTATATTAAAAACAGAATACTACCAACAAATATATATATATATATATATATATATATATATATATATTAAAAGTGACATCAATGCATTTTATAGCAAAATGACCAATAATACATTTTATCTCTAGTTGAAAACATATAATTGCGTTCAAATATATTTAGTTGAAGCCATACAATTGTACAAAATATTTAGATTTCAGCATTAAAAAACACATAGATGTTGACATGCCACTAAACAAAATCGACTAAAAACCAAAATTAAATAACACTTTAATAATATTTATCCATATATTATACTGCTATTTTTAAAGAAATCAAACTGTATTCCAATATATAACTTGAATACAATTTAAAATACACATATCAATCCATCTAATAATTATATCTACACTGACATATATATATATATATAAAGTTGAGTATCGTACTATATATTCATTTGTGAAAGCAGAATGACATATATTTTATTTTATTACTTCAAATCTTACAAGAAAATGAAAATTCGGCATTAAAAAATCCATATGCCTTTAAACAAATGAATAAATAAAGAAATGATTCTTAGACACGTAGTCCTGTTGTAGATTATGTCTATGGAAGTTAAACTACACTTGATGTCCTCTAGCTTGATAGATTGCCTTAGTCACGGGTATGTGGCACCTGATTTTGTCGGAGAAAGATCCGCTCTGCCAGTGGAATCAATCCGTTCAGCAACGCAGGGTAATCACCGCCTGTCTGCACCTGAATTAAAGAAGTTCAGTCTGCCCCAACGAAAGCTCAGTCACCCGTGACACGACAATCCTTCAGTTCCACGGTGTTATATGTTACCAGTAGCAGTAGTAGAATGACCTGATATAATTTTCCAACGAACATCTGCAAATAACTGCCAATAGCAAAGAAAGAAACCTAATGACTCTTGTCAAGAGAGGCACTTCAGATCAGAAAGGAACCCGAAATTGGATGACGACAAGAAATAACCAATGTTGTAATACCGTTAGGATTTGCTAATTGCTTATTCGCATTTTCAAAGAAGGTCACACTGATCATCGAGTCTCTTTTAATCTTTTCGCTTGTTAGTAGGTCGGTAACTGTCAGTAAATGTCAACAAACTGATA